ATTTTAATCAAGTTTATTATGATACCATTTTGTCACGAAATTATTATTTACTTTCAAAAAGATTAATATGATAAATAGTGTAATATTCATATTTATAAACTTTTCAAGATATCTATATGTCCATTATGAGATTGAAACATGCGATCTACTTTTTTGAAATGTTGGACTTACATTAATATTAAGTTTAAATAATATTCTTTTTGTCTTATTTCATGATTTTTATGTAATTTGATGAAATAAAAAAAAAGCTTTAATTTTAATATATTTTATATTAAAATTTTAATTTTTTATAAATTAATATTTGTGAACTGTTTTATAAATAAAATATAAATTTTACATTGGTTAGTTCATGATCTCCCTATTTAAAAAATTTAGATTCGAAACCCCTTTCTCAAAAAAGAAATATAAATTTTGAATATGAAAAAAAAATTTTGATGCTGAAAAAACAATTCAATTTTAAAATATGGATAAAAGAAATGAAAGGAGCATAAGTGAACCTTATAATTAAAACTTAGGTTCAAATATAAAGAGAGTTTATATGTGATTCATACAAGGTTAGACCATCAAATGACATAATTTCATTAAAAACAAATTTAAAATTTGAGAGATTTAAAAATAAATATTATTAATTTTTCTTAAAAAAACCACTTCAATCTCTTGCCAAGTCCCTTCCACCTAATTTCTCTCTGTTTTTTATATACTCTTGTATGGGAATACTTGATTGAAGTGTTGCTTTGGAAGCATTTCAAAAATTGAAGTGGCTCAATGGTATTAAGAGTCGGTTTCGGACAAAATAATAATTACCAAAAAAAATTGTAATTGGAGTTTCAGCTGCAATAAATCAAACACCAAAATAAAACAAAATGACCAGAATTCTGATTATAATTACCTAGAGACTGGTTTTCAACTAGGGTCACTACAATATATATTGGTTAAAAGACCTACCAAGTTCATATATTTTTCAATTTTGTTTAATTTCGTCATTGTATTTAAAATCGAAACAATTTAACCTTTTGATTTTAAAAATTACGCCACATAGTACTGCACAAATGATGTAACGATGCTGACATGACACTAACATGCTAACATATCAATGCGAGGTGACAGAATAAAAAAATTTTCAAAAGAAAAAATTCTGTCACGTCATAGAAATTAAATTAAACAAAATTATAAGTACATGGACTAAATTGAATAAAATTGAGATATTGAAAGACTAAATTGAAAAAAAATTTAAAAATTCAAATATTTAAATAGATTATTAATATGCTTATTAATAAGTAAAATATTTAAGTGTAAAAAATTAATGGTATTAAAAATATATATAAATATTTTCTTACTTGATTATTTAATTCTAGAATATATAAATAATTTATCTTTTTTATAAAAATTAAATTTGAATTCTCTTTCTATAAAAAATATTTTAAAAAATTTTATATTTTAAGTCAAATTTAGATGAATAACTTGTATTAAGTTAAAATAAAATAATATAAAATAACTAAATAAATTTATTTTTTATTTATAATAATATAAAAATTTGAAATTTATTTATTTAACTTAGTTTTTAACTTGAGTTAAAGTAAAATTAATAAAACATATTGATTTAGTTTTTTCTTTTAAAAAATTGAAGAATGAAGTTATGAAGTTAGCTATGATTATAAAAATAATTCTTTATTCTGATTTACTTAATTTGGACATGATAAATCTCTCATTACAACTATAAAATTTCAACTCCACCCTTTGAATTATTTATTTATTTTTATGTTTTAATTTTGTTTAATATTTCAAGTTATATTTTTTAAGTTAAAAATTCTTAAATTAAAAATTACATTCATAGTTAATAAAGTTAAATATAAGTGTAAATATTTATATTATTTTATTTTTATTAATATTTTGTGTAAATCTAAATTCATAAT